TTTGTTACTCAGAGTTAAACAGTATGCAATCTTCAGACATCTGACTTATTTTCAGTCTGTGTCTCTAAGTTGGACATGCTACACTTCAAGACTAGTTTGGAACATATGTTCAAAGAAGTGTTCTTAGGGGCATTAATGATGAAAGGCTTTTTTAGTTAAACACAGGGTACATCGTTTTATTTGTGTAGGATTTAGCTGTAATATATTTGTTTAAAAGTGGATAGAGAATCTAAAAATTGAACACGAACAAGAATTGTTTAAAATAAAACAAGAGAATTTTGTGCTGGCTGCCAAGGTATGTATTAGAGAATTGAGAGATAAAAGGAAGGCTCTCATGAAATTTTTAAAGCTGAAAGTACAGAAATTTCAAAATGTTAATACTTACAAATACATTTTATTTGATTGAAAAAGTGACCTTAAATAATAATCAATGAAAATTTCACAGAAGAATATTTATCAAAGTATCTAAGCTAAAGGACATTTTTCAACTTTTCTAGAATCAAGCAGACTATGACCATAAACAAATTATAACAGCTGACGGACTGGACAATGTTGCTAAAGAAAAGATTAACAAGTTAGAAAAAGAAATCAAAGAACAAGAGAATTTAATAGCTGGTTATGAGAAGGAAAATCAACGTTTATGTTCTAAAATGAAATTGTTAGAACATAATACTAAAGATACAGAAGAAACTATGTTTAAAGAAAATCAGAGATTAACTAGGGAGGTGTCACAACTCAGGTACCTTATATCTTATATAATTTTGATCTTTTTATAAATATTAGCATAATAATCTAATTCAATTATAATACTACCTACAATCTGTAGTTCATAAACTTTCATTTTGTTCATCAGCTATATCATTTTATATCAATAATTTTCTTCAGGGATCAATTGAGTCAGAAAGATTATCAGTTAAAGAACAAGGGTATTATAACTAGTGTTACAGCTCAACAACAGATAGCATCTGGTGGTAACACAGAAAACAGTAATATCAGTGGTAATCAACCTAGTATCAGTGGTAATCAACCTAGTGTTATTGGTAACACTCAACCAGCAGTTCTAGGTGCTAGTAGGATATCTGAATTAGAAGATCAACTGAAGGATATTACAGTAAGTATTAAGCAATCTTTCTATTAATTTTGTTTAAGCCATAATGCTCCATACATACAATATATATGCGAATATAAACATGTACCTGATCCATCTTTTCCAAAAACATTCACAAAATAGCAGAAATGGTCATAATTGTGTCATTGCATTTACTCACTTCCCTGCCTTTAAAGGAAAATTCAGTGTTGTTGAAATTGTATACATGATAAATAACAAAAACACAAGGCAATATTATGGAATAAAACACACTTCTTTAATAAGGTTGGGCACATAACGTTTCAACACAATGTACACGTGTCGTCATCAGATGTAATGGCAAGAGAATAAAACATAACAAAATATATGTTATTACCCCTTTTATCTATTGTCCCTCTTAATCTCTATATATATTTTGTTATGTTTTATTCTCTTGCCATTACATCTGATGATGACACATATACATTGTGTTGAAATGTTATGTGCCCAAGAAGTGTGTTTTATTCCATAATATTGCCTTGTGTTTTTGTTATATGTGCTCCTCGCTTCTATATGTTGTTCAAATCTTATATACATGATAAAATTGGCTGTAAGATTAAATTGAAAGATTTCTATTTTGATCAGTGTGTATTGTTTTATAGAAACAATACAGTATATCAGAACGTGAATTAAGGACATTACAGAGTAGTAAGTTAGAATTAGAAGAACATATTGATAAACTAATTAGAGAGAGAGAAGATTTGACAAAAAAACTACAATTAGCTAAATCTATTAGACCAGAAGAGGCTCAGGTTGGTATAATTCTTGAAGCAGATGTAATAATTTGTATCATATTCCTGATCAAACATTCACAATATGATATTATAATTTGTTTAAAAATATCAAAATTGTTACATTGTTATATATAGAAAATGGAAGAGAAATACAATGAAGAAATAGAAAAACTAACTAAAAAGTTAAAATGGTATACAGAAAATCAGGAATTATTAGATAAAAGTGCTATGACTATTAGAACTAAAGATAGTCAAATAGAAAAACTTAAGAAACAAGTAGAAGAATTACAATCTGAGGTAGGGTTTATGTAACTCAAATAGCCTAATCAGAATTTTTTTTATGAAATTCAACTTCTTTCTGTAATTGCATTTGCTTAATTGGAATAATTTCCAATTAAAGGTCATGTTACGTAATATGTTAAATGTAGTAATTTTTTATTTAGTGCTAGTAACTTAGTGTATTTGTAATATTGTGTTATATACACTTACATGTTATTTTCAGACTGGAAGAAAAATGGAAGAAAATAAACTACGAGCTAAAGAAAGGGCGGCAGAACATAAAAAGGTTCAAGATTTAGAAAGACAAGTGAGCTTTTTTGCAATTATATGCTTTTGAAACTGGCAGCTCTGTTTTACAGATGTGGATCACAAGTTAATAGGCATTGTTGTTTAAAATTTGCTACCTGTTCATTAAATAGATGCCACTGTTACAGTCACATTTATCAAAATAGTTACATATGGGACAGTGAATTAAGCAATTAGGTTCATGCATTGATTGGCCTATTGGTCACATCTAATTTATTTATATTTATTGACTTCGGTTGCTGATACGAGGTTTACATGCTATAGTGAAACACAGTAGAAATATGATATAGTATTGGACATTTTCAAAAGAAATACATTGTTATTTTTTTGTAGGTGAGAGAAATGGAACAGATAGTAAGAAAAAGACATCCTAATTCTCTACCTGCTATGATATTAGCAGCTGGTGTAGTTAATGATACCACAGATTCTAAACAAACTCCCAGTAATATAGTCTTAGAAAATAGAATTAAGAAATTAGAAAGTGAGTTAGGAACTAAAGATAGTGAACATGATCAGTTATTACGAGCTATGGAACAGAAATATAACATGGTGAAGGTTTGTGTTTATTTTGTTTTAAATCATGGATAAGAAAGGATCATACTCTAACCTTGTCATAATTACCTTAAAATACCATATTTACCTTAAAATTCCATAAATACCATAATTACCTCATATACTTGCGATCATATGTGGAAAAAAAGTATAATAGACAGTGGCAGTTGTCTGTGGATAATCTTTGACATCCCTATTTGATGCAGCATATATTGTCATTTCAAAATTTCGTTACTGATTTGAAATATCTTTGATTCGTTGGCCATTTAAATCAGATTTTTAACCTTATTCTGCTAAAAGCAGTAATAATTGATTTTTGCTCTATGTTTAAAATAGATACCATGTTTTGTAGATGCAGTTTGAAGAAAGAATTAATGATTTACAAGATCAGTTATCACAATATCAACTTGCTTGTGATCATGATAGACCTCATACTCATATTACAGCTTTACAGAAAGAATTAGATAGTACTAGAGACAGATATAAAAAACAGATAGCTGAATTACAAACAGAAATTATCAAACTACAAACAGAGTTAAATAAATATCATAAAAATAATGAACATAGTAAGTATATATTGAAAGCAAAATCCATATCACAAGGAGAAAAGCAACATATACTGATCCAAATTCTAATCCAAAATTCAAGATCCATAAGCCAACAAAGTTATCAAGGTATACATGAGATATTGAATAACTAACAGTTGATGTAAATGTCTATATACGCAATTTACAGTCATTATTACAGAGCAATATATATTTAGAGTTATGTATGGTTAAATTAATTCTGGGATATTTAAGCCCTAATTGAACCAGTTATTGTATGTATGAAATGTATATAAAATGATGTATATTTTGATGATAGGTTTATCAAGATTTACTAATTCTGCTGACAGTGAGTTACAACATCAAGTCTTATTATTACAACGTGAACTAGAAAATAAAACACACGATTTACAAGTTACACAAATATCCTTAGAGAAATTACGTAAAGAAAAACAACTGTACTTGAAAGGTAATGGATTTTGATGTGAAATTTTAAGTAGCCTACTAGCTTTCCTAGCTGATAGAGCTTGATTTTATCACTTTTCAAAATTAAAACCTGACATTTTGTTCTCTTACACTTCAACAGAAGCAGGTTGTGATGATAAGGTTAATATTTATATGTTAAAAAAATCAAATAGCTTTGCTGGTAAAGAAAATATTTATACCAATATATCCCCGAAAAATTGAATCTTAATTTATTATCCATATTTAATATAGAATCTTATAATATAATATTGTTTAGGATGGTTTATCAAGTTTTAATAATCTTTGTAATTAATGTACAGATAGTAAGAAGGGTATAAATAAGAAAAATGGACGTAAATCAGATGAGAATAATTTTGATGAACATCATGATAATATGAATGGTAATGTTACTGAAGTATTAAAAGAGAATGACTATTTGAAAAATAAGGTAAGTGGTTAATTCAAAAGATCAAAAATTAATACTTGTGTGCTTAGATAAGATATTTTAATTAAATATTGCCAAAATTAATGTTGAAAAACTATGAAATCAGAGCACTGAAAGTATAGTAAATATGTTATTTCATGTTTCATGTGTTATTTAATTGATATAGGTTGAAAGATTACAATTAAGTTTAGATCAACAGAGAGTTGATTTAAGAAAATCATTAGCCGAAACAGAAGCCTTTGTTAGAAAAAGTCGTGAAGAATATGAAGATAAAGTAAGCTACCTCCATAAACAATACAAGAAATTTGTATGCTATGAGCATACGCTCAAGTTCATTTCTATGTATTATTTAAATGAAATTGTTCCTGAAGTTTTCTTACAATATTTGATAATTAAATATAATATTTAAACCCAGGAGCAATATTTGTGTCATACCACATCATATCATAATAATTACTCACTTTTTGATTTCATTTTGTCATAAGAAACACCACCATTTACTATAGAAGTACATCATTAGATGAATATGGTATATTATTATTTTGTAGATTGATACATTAAGATCTTGTCATCAGAAAGAGTTTCAGAGATTATTAGCTGAACAAGCTGTCAATAATTCTACATCTAAAGTAGCAGAGTTACATAGTAAATGTGATGCTCAACAGGTAGGTTCATTCATTTCTATAAATAAAGGAAATGTTAGTCTTTACATGCAAATTCTATAATTACATACCTGAACCAAATGATGGCTAGTTTGAATTGCAATATCTGTCATAGTGTAGGAGACCTGCCTTCAAATCCCTAGTCCAAATTCAGAAAACTTTTTAATTCTGAACCCTATTTGACTTATTTTGAGCCCTACTGGATACCTGTTATTTAAGGGCAGCTCAAGTCAAAATTGTTCAGTATCCATCAGGAAACTCAAAAACACATTCAAGCCTATGTCCCAGAATTCGGTCACAGGACCTGCAAGCCTGTCTCCTGCTATAATTCTAGAAAAGCAAGCTATATTCTCCTAGGCATTGATGGAAGATGCTGTTGATATTCTTTGTTTACATTTTGTTATGTATAATAAATGAAAAATAATGAATGTAAATTTTATGTTAAAAAACAATAGAATAAAAGGAATAAGACTGTTCGGCTGTTAATAACAAGTAAGTCATTAGGGACAGGTACTTACTTTGTGTACTGTCTTTGATGTTTCATTCATGTTTCATTCCACAAAAGCTGTATTGATTTTTATTGTCAATATATTTGTTTCAGGTATTGATAAGACATCTAAAAGAACAGATATCTAGAAATGAAGTAGAAGCTGAACAGATATCAGTGTTAAAAATAAGAGAAGCCTCACTCCTAACTCAGGTTGAAAAGTTAAAAGATGAATTAGCTGAAGCTAAAAGGCATTATACACCGGTAAATATAGACATCACTTTATTGTCCTCCATGCCCTATGAGACCTAGAGTATCCAAACGAAGTTGCAGCCTTTATGAAGTTTCATCTAAAAGTTATTTGAAGTTTGCTTGTCCAGGCATGTATTCAATATTCCATTAAGCCAAAATTTCAGTTTTAAAATGTGGTCACTGTTGCTCATTAAGCAATGCTAGGTCACATTAAAGGAATACCACCTTTTAAAATGGACATAAAATTTAAAGTCTCAAATATTGGTCAATATATTCATCAGGTGCCATGACTAAAGAATAAGATCTCTATAAAATACAATATATACATCCATTAAACTAAGTAATTATTGAAAAAAGCCTTGATGCATTTTCCAAAAATTTACTAAATTTAATGGATTATAAAGGCATTCTATTGTATTTTTATGACACCAGGTAAGTCTACTGATGAAATTTTGACCAAGTTTAAAAATTTCAATTTCTTGGTCATCCTAAGTTGTAATATACATTTAAAATTCAAATTTATCAAGAACAAATTTTGATTCTTTTGAGTACCATGGTTGATTTCTATCAATGTGATTTATGTCATATCTATAACACAGATGCCTAGGAGGTCAGTGAAATGACAGCCATCTATTGAAATGTGTATATAATGAAGAATAATATCTATATATTTGATAATAATCATTTATCTTATTTTTTTCAGGGAATGAAACATTTTATGTCCATACAAGAGAAAATAGAACATATGGAGAGAAGACATTTAAAGAGAGAAGAGGAATTACAAGATATTATCAAAAATACTCAAAATTTAGCTTCCTCAGAACTTGATAAAGAAAGTGAAAAGTGGAGGAAAATAGTTGAGGTTAAAAATAATGAAATTGAAAAATTTCGAACTGAATTAGATTCTATTTTAAATGTAATAAGAATGCTACAGCAACAGGGTGTGGTGTTACCAACTAAAACTTGACAGTATTAGGTGTTAAGGGTTACATTATTTTAATAAAGGTGCTATCTTCCTCAATAGTAAGAATAATAGGGCATGATCTGTAATAGGTCACTAGTAATTAATATATTATCTTCTCAAACATCTGATGTATCTTCAGATATGGCCTTTAGATGTATATCCTTACATACATGATTGTACATGTATATCTTTAGATCTATCTCCAGTTACAAATGGTATGTCTTGATACAAATGATATATCTTAATACAAATGGTATATCTTGAAATACAACAGTTACACCTTGAGATGTGATTGGTATTATGTATTGTATTTCATTTCACAAGATGTTACTATTAGATATAAACCACCATGACATCAGAATGAAACATCCATCATCCATAAGGCTGACATATTTATTTTTATACTGTGATAATGATTTATTTATTTTGTAATAAACTTAATTTAAAGAATATTTGAGTCCTCAGTTTGGCACCAAAGCTATGGCTTATTCGGTTGGTCTGACATTTTAAAAAGTGTCTCATTATGTACACTTGATAATAAACATAGCATATTCTTAATCACACTGAAGTTTTGTCCTTTTTTTAGCCTTCTTTATATCCTTTTCTATATCCTTTTTTTAATGAAATGAGGGGCGTGTATTGACGTCACCCGGTGTCCGTCTGGCCACACTCTACAAGACACAATACTTGACAGATTTTGACAAAACTTGGTGTGATATTTCGTAATCGCCCAAGGATGAACCCTATTGAAAATCAGAAGAATCAAAAAAATATTTATGAGTTATTGTCCTTGTTCTTGAAAACATGTTCATTTTTTAGCTCTAGAAGGCACAATTTTTGACGGATTTTGACGAAACTTGGTGTGAGTGTTTATTATCATCCAAAAGTTCAAAAGAAGTGTATGACTGAAGGTTGAATAATTCATATTAGTGATTGTTACTCTACTGCCAAATATTTTTATTTAAAATCAAAGCTTCCAGTGGGCGTATATTACCTGACAAGCTATATTATTAAGATGATAATCTTTAGCCAATGTGTCCATTGTGTTAGCAGCATAGCATTACTAGTTGAAGTGACAAATATTAAGACTGGGATGGAAATATAACTTATAGTATAAGATTACTAGTAATAGCCTTGAAACACTAATATGCATTCTGCTACTACATAAATTAATGAGCTATATGTTGAATATCAAATCCAAAAGGGAATTAACTGGTTAAGCCAATATTTTGACTGCATCATTTTAGGAAAAAAACATGGAGAAAAAAGACAAACAATTATGTATCTAGACAGGATTTTAATATATGAAAATAGGCACAATAACATATCACAGGGTATCAAATATAAATAATTGCTTGCATCTAATATTCTTGAGTCATGAAACATGGCAGAAAATTTAAAGTTAAAATAACATTACAACATGACCCTGTTAGTCAATCATAGGCATAAAAAGTGCACCAATGTTTAGATAAAAATATGTGCATCTATAATCTACTAGGCTTCAAATGTAATATTCCATCTTCCAGAGGTTTTTTAAGGAATTAAAGTTTGATCCGAGCAAGATGGGAGTTTTCATAAATTGTAAGATCAAATTTTGTTCCAAACTCTCACTTGCCCTATTGACCTCTATAGTCTGTCTATCTAATAATGCTTTTGATAACTGAGAAGTCCTATGCAGTGTGAAGTCTACTAATGCGACTTTGCTAATCGTTTGACAAGAAAATGCTGATAAAAATGGAATAAGCATACGTCTATTACAAATTTTACATAATAAGTTGGACCCTGTATACTTGTTTGAACTACTTTACATACAATATAATTTCTCCTTCATGAATGTATAGCATATTTAACTGAGAACAGTTTCATAAAACCCTGATATACAAAATGTTTGATTTTGATACAAAGAAACTGGACGGAATGCATTAAAATAATTGAATAAATTAAGGACATTATATACAAACAAGAAGCACTCAAGGAAAAAATAATCAAGACTATACAACTAATGAAACTGTACAATAAAATCTAGTGAGATATAATGCTGAAAAGACTAGTTAATAATATAAGCATAGATTAATAAGTGCTGTGTTTTTAATGCTTAGTGTTATAAAGCTATAGTAATAATAATAATAAGCAAATACATGTGTGATAAGCTTAAGTGCTGTACACACAAGCTTAGTTGAATAATAAAAAGCAAAGCATCATTATTATGGTTTATATCATAGGACTTGATATAAATATAGTCAAAGCCTTATAATTCTTTAGGCAACCATAAAGGGTACTACCTTTAAATACAATGGAAGTATAAAATTTACTTTTTTCTTAAACTTTTTCAAACACTTGTGACATTATGTTCTTTATATTGTATATGGTAAATCAGGATTTATATGAGATTTTATCATCAAAAGATATTCTGATTTCCAATTTTAATAAAAAATTTGTTGCCGTGATGGTATATTAAAATATCAGAAATGTATTAACTTACTATAATGCTATTAAAAGGAAGAATAAAATAAGCAAGTTAAAGCTCCTCTATATTATAAGCTAAGCTATGTTAAATAAGACACTGTTAAAGAGAAAATACTGTCATCTTTTAAATGCTTTAGAAGTAAAATACTTCTTTAATACACTTTGTTCTATTAGCCACAGTTGACTATAAGTATATATACACAGTTTTCCATAAAAAAAATATGTTCTGTGTTTAAGATTGTTTTAAAAAATTAAACTTGTAAAAACAAAATTAAATTTAAAAAAAAATTCTATTTAAAACTTAAAATTGTGCATAAAACACAATTATGTTAAATTCGATTCAATTATTACAATTGATGACTTGGTAATTGTAATGCATTTCTTTCTGACATTGAATGAAATTAAATCAATACAGTATATTATTCTTACCTTACCTTACATTACATTCATACAATTGAAGGAACAATAATATTTTTAGAAAACTTCCTGGTATTAATATGAGACAGTGGCATTAATATCATGGTCATATTGTAATAATAGTTAAAAAAATATATAACAAAATAATATGTTTTACTGACGCACACGCAAGACATCTTCATTATGCTCATTTAATCAATAAACATGAGCAGTTCACCTTTTTTGGTTTGTATACTTTCAATTACTATCTATTCATCCTTGAAGTAAAGTGAAATTCTGACGTTTATTCTTCAAATTATACCCAGATGAGGACAAATATCTTTGCTTGACTGTAGTCATGTAGTTATTTAGTCCATTAAAATTTCCAAACTTTCATTCCATATTTTATAAGCTCTTATTTTTTGATTCAACCAATTTAGTTCCGGTCTAACAAGGGCCTCCTTTGTGACGCAGAATACACCTTTTGTTCCCATCACAAAACCCCAGCGTTGGACAGGGAAGATATTTGATTAGCTGGCCTTGCTACCAAAGGGATGAATGTTCAAGAGTGGCACATTTAGACCCTAACTGAAGTGGCTAAATCAAAAATAAAAGCTATCAAAACTGGAATGCAGGTTAGGTCTAAATTTAATTAAACTGGTAGTGATTTGTCACTGTATTTATATTACTAGAATACAACTAAGTTATCTATATTGTTGTTGTGATGTACAATGGACAGAAGCTGCTCTAATTAAATAATCTCTTGCTACTCCATCTGTATGTCTTCTTTGATGGGCTGTTATTGGACGACGTCCTCGAAAACCAGGTGACTGCAATAAACATTATATCTATCAATGAAACTAATATAAAAAGAAAATTGTAACCAAAGTTGAAACTAGAATCTAACAAATTATACAGAAGAAGAAAGTCAAAAGATGAAAACTCCAGATATGTGCCCTTCAAGATATACTTTCCTTTCATCGAGTTTAATGTAAATCAAGTGTAAACACAATATAAACTAGTGTACAAAAGAAACGATACCACCTGTTTGCAACGACATAAAAGAAAAACTAAACAATGCAGAAGTTTAGGATTGGTGTTATGCTTTTGAGAAATCCTTTCACAACATCTGTACAAAAATTTCATTTCAATAAAATCTGTACAACCAATATGACAAGCCTTTAAAGATGGGTGGGGTCGAAAAAAGAACATTTCGTTAGAGCACTGATCACAGAAACAACGGGAAATGTTGCCAACGTCGAACTCGCCCGGCCCAGATCAGTCTGTTGTTCCGGTGTCGAGGCGTCAGGAGCAGTCTGCGGTAGGGATGACGTGGCCGGATACCATACTGCCGTAGTCTCCTGTAGACGGTCTGTCGACTGATCCTGTGTCCCAGTGCTGTAGCCGCCGTGGATGTCGCTGTTACGGTGCGTTTCCTCAGGTGTAATACCCGAATGTAACGATCTTCACGGGGCGTGGTTACTCGTGGTCTTCCACTCCTGGGCCTGTCTGACGTCTGACCTGTCTGACGTAACCGCTGCATCAACCTGGTGATAGTGATGCGTGCGCAGCCCAACCTTCTGGCGACGTCGACGTGTGTCGCTCCTTGTTGGACCATTCCAACGGCTCTCTCTCTCTCGATGGCTGTCAAACATTGCATATCTTGTGTTCTTTTTGTTGCTGTGATATCAACGTGTCTGATCAGCCGTTTTATACAGTTTTTATGCACGTGCAGAACATGCTAGAGAGGGAAATGTCACTTTCATGAAATTTACGTTTTTTCCCGGAAGTGATCACGTGTTCCCGGTATTTTTATCGACTATGCTGTGTTTGGGATGTGCAATACGAATTGGCATGTTTTCATATTAGACAATTCACTTAGTAAAAAACAATTTTGAAAATAAGTCGGTATCGTTTCTTTTGGACACTAGTTTATAATATTTTTACAGCAATTTTCTTTAAAAAAAAGTCTTAATAATCACAAACTGCTCAAACTGTACACATACATGGTTATCTTCTGTTAAATTTGGAAGAAAATAGTATTTTCAATCTTCAAGTTCAATAAAAAAAAGAAATTTGATTAGTGAACTGTTATTTTTCTATTAAAGACAAATTTGCAGGACTATCACCGTTTTCAAAGATCTTTCTTTTCAAAAATATCATTGTAATTTGAATAAAATGAAGATAAAGCAACCATTAATTTGAATATTGAATGTTGAAAATTGTCTTGTCCCATATCTGGATTTTATGAAAGAAAAATTGTAAGGAAGAGATTAAAGCTATGACTAAAAATATCTTAAGAAAGCTAAATACATGTATATATCTATTATTAATTTATTAACAACATTATTTTAGAACAAAGAAGGCCTATTACCAGATTTAACTTTAATGTCCATTTTTCCTATTGATAAGCTAGTAAATAAAAAAAAGAGAGGGCTTCAATTATCTGTGACATTGTAATTCTGTACACTTGTGTTTGAGGATGATTAATTGTTGGATGATAAGAATAAAGATAGACCTACCTGTGATGTATTAGATATTGTAATAGTTTGTGTTTGATGATGATTAATTGTTGGATGATAAGAATAAAGATAGACCTACCTGTGATGTATTAGATATTGTAATAGTTTGTGTTTGAGGATGATTAATTGTTGGATAAGAATAAAGATAGACCTACCTGTGATGTATTAGATATTGTAATAGTTTGTGTTTGAGGATGATTAATTGTTGGATGATAAGAATAAAGATAGACCTACCTGTGATGTATTAGATATTGTAATAGTTTGTGTTTGAGGATGATTAATTGTTGGATGATAAGGATAAAGATAGACCTACCTGTGATGTATTAGATATTGTAATAGTTTGTGTTTGAGGATGATTAATTGTTGATAAGAATAAAGATAGACCTACCTGTGATGTATTAGATATTGTAATAGTTTGTGTTTGAGGATGATTAATTGTTGGATGATAAGAATAAAGATAGACCTACCTGTGATGTATTAGATATTGTAATAGTTTGTGTTTGGGGATGATTAATTGTTGATAAGAATAAAGATAGACCTACCTGTGATGTATTAGATATTGTAATAGTTTGTATTTGAGGATGATTAATTGGCGGATGATAAGAATAAAGATAGACCTACCTGTGATGTATTAGATATTGTAATAGTTTGTGTTTGAGGATGATTAATTGTTGATAAGAATAAAGATAGAC